CCAGACACTGTATACTTGGGCAATAAGAAAAATGCATCAACAAAGCAAACAAGAGGATGCTATGAAAAAGGGACAATTCTGGGAATTAAAGTGTTGTACAAAAACTAAAACAATGTTATACATGATGTGAGAGGAAAAAAGAATAAAACAATAAATTCAAGAGGTCTAACATATGACTATTAAAAATTCTGGGAAGGGCAAAAAATGGTGAGTAAAAATTTATTGAAGAAAATGTTCAGAACTAAAGGGCACGAGTGTCTAGATAGAGAACAAACTGACAGCTGTTAGAGGGGAGGCAGGTTGTATGGCTGAATGAAAAGGATGAAGAGTTTAAGCGAAAAAAAAAATTCATGGACACAGACAACAGTGTGGTGATTGCAGAGAAAGTGGAGGAGGGTATGGGGGGATAAATGGTAATGGAGGGAGACTTGTCTTGGGGTGGTGAATATACAATGTAATATACAGATGATGTCATAGAATTGTACATCTGAAACTTATAATTTTATCAACCAATGTCACCCCAATAAATTCCATAAAAAAGAAAATAAAGGGCATGAGTTTCCCAATTGAAAGCAATAAATATAATGAATTACAAAAGCCTTAAATGTTCCAAGTGAAAATGATTTCCAACAATTGTTCATGATCAATGATGTGTGAGAATAAAACATTAAGAGATAAAAAATCTCAAAATATTTACATCTCATGCATCTTTTCTCAGGAAGCAACTTAAATGTGAGCTTCTCTAAAATGAGGGGGTAAACCAAGAAAGATGAAATGGGATCCAAGAAACAAGCGGTTCCAACACAAAACAGAAATTAAGGGAATTCCGACTTTTGGTGACCAGAACAACCTCTGCAGCCCAGGAGAGCAACCTGTCCAGACCTGGGGCAGGATAATGGAGTGGTCTGTCAGAGGTGTCATCAAAAGCATTATCCTTCTGCCCTGACCAGTATGGCTCAGTTGGGAGTCGTCCCGTGAAGTGAAGGGCTGCAGGTTTTATTCCTGGTCAGGGCACATGTCTGGGTTGTGGGTATGGTCCCTGGTAGGGGCGCATACAGGAGGCAACAAACTGATGTTCTTCTCTTGCATAATTGTTTCTCTCCCTCTCTCTCTCCCTCCCTTGCCCCCTCTCTAAAAATAAATAAATAAAATCTTTTTTTGTATTAAAAAAGCATTAGCCCTGAAGAAAACTGGGTTAATTTCATTTTACAGAGCTTTTGGAAGATGTACGAAGACTTAGGGTCAAAAAAGAAAAAAACAACTAAGCAAATAAAAAAAAAATTGAGGTAATTATTAACTTTAGGAATTGAAATTACAGTATATTACTTGGCTCAGCAGTGAACACTATTTACATGCACCTTATATAAAAACAGTAAAGATTAATTTTGCCAAAATATAAATATATTAAGAAGAGGAAAAGAAGATATTTATTATGAGAGAGCCAAAATCCTCATCTACTGTATTAGTCAATATATAATCTTATAATTACTTGATTAGATCTGCCTATTATTTAGAAACACTGAGATAATTACCAGAAAAAAATAGCTAAAAGAGCTTAAAGTGGTTGTGTCCAAATGACAGAAATTTAAGGTAAAGGAAAAAAGGAGGGGGAGGAAGAAGGGGCCCAGGAAGCTGCTTTCTTTTGTTATAGGACTTTACCATTGGACTTTTAAAGGCATACATGCAATATAAAAATGAATTTTAAAAAAATTTAAAAGGTTAAAACAAGTTTAAAAATCTGACAAATGGACTTCCAGTCAAAATGGAGGTGTAGGTAAACACGTCTCACCTCTGTGCACAACTATAGCACAAAATAAAATTACAGTACAAAATAAATATCACCCAGAATTGTCAGAAAATCGAGCTGTGTGGAAGCCCCAAACCAAGGATTTAAAGAAGTCACATTCATCCAGATGTGTAGGAGGGGTGGAGACGTGGAGAAATGCGGAGAGATGCAGAGAGGCTTGGAGACAGACTGGCATGGAGATGAAACAGGTGGTCCCACATCCACATGTGGTGGATAAAAAATGGGAGGGATACCTTGGGAGCAAGGGATCCCAGGTCCAGTCCAGACCACGCAGCCCAGGGTTGCAGGACCAGGAAGATAAAGTTCCATAAACTACGGCTTTAAAAACCAGTGAGTACTGGGGAGAAGAAACTGCGGGATTGTCAAAAGACTCCTCTTAAAGGGCCCACAGCAGATTTAGGATTCATGCAGACCTACCGCTTCTGGGATTCAGCACCAGGGCAACAGCTGGAAGGTCACCAGTGGCATATGGGGAGAAAGTGAAGTGTGAGTGCAGGGACACAGCTTCTTTCCTGGCAAAACTCCGGAGGCCAAGCAGCAGTATTGTCCCCTTGGCAAGCCCCTCCACACACAACAACAGAGCAGTAACACATGTTGCCCTGCCCTCTTGATTTCCTAAGCCTCCACCTCATACAACTCAACAGGTGTGCTTTTCTACAATAGACCACACTACTAAGAGAAGGAGTCAAAGCAGTTCTACCTAATACACAGAAATAAACACAGTGAGACTGTGAAATTGAGGAGACAAAGAAATATGGCCCAAATGAAGAACAGAACAAAACTCTGGAAAGAGAACTAAGTAAAATGGAGATAAGCAACCTGTCAGATGCAGAGTCCAAAACACTGGTTACCAGGATTCTCCAGAAACTCAATAGGTAATTCAACAGCATAAAGAAGACCCATAATGAAGGTTGCATTAAGTGAAATAAAAAAAAAAAATCTTCAGGGAACCAAGACTGAAATGGATGAAGCTGAGGGCCAAATCAACAAGTTAGAACACAAAGATGGAAAAAGCATTCAATCAGGACAGCAGGAAGAAAAAAGAATTCAAAAAAACAAGGATAGGCTTAGGAACCTCTGGGACACTTAAACATACCATCATCTGAATCATAGGGGTGCCAGAAGGAGAAGAGGGAAAGCAAGAAATTTAAAAATTTCAAAAACAATGAAAGAAAACTTCCCTAATTTGGTGAAGGAAATAGACATACAAGTCCAGGAAGCACAGAGTCCCAAACAAGATGGACACAAAGAGAACCACAGCAAGACACATCATAATTAAAATGCCAAAGGTTAAAGATAAAGAGAGAATCTGAAAAGCAGCAAGAGAAAAGCAGATAGTTACCTACAAAGGAGTTCCCATTAGACTGTCAGCTGATTTCTCAGAAGAAACTTTGCAGGCTAGAAGGGATTGGCAAGAAATATTCAAAGTGATGAAAAGCAAGGACCTACAATCTAGATTGTTCTACCTAGCGAAGCTATCATTTAGAATTGCAGGGGAGATAAAGTGCTTCCCAGAAAAGGTAAAATTAAAGGTGTTCATCATTACCAAGCCATTATATGAAATACTAAATGGAACTGCATAAGAAAAAGAGGAAGATAAAAATGATGAACATTAAAATGGCAATGAATTCACAACTGTCAATAACTGAATCCAAATGACATACTAAGCAAACAAGCAGAACAGGAACAGAATCATCGATTTAGAGAGTTATCAGCTGGGAGGGGGAAGGGCAAAAATGGGGGTAAAGATTCAGGGATTAAGAAGTACAAATTGGCAGGTACAAAACAGAGAGGGGGACATTAAGAACAGTGTAAGTAATAAAGTAACCAAAGAACTTGTATGCAACACTCATGGACATGAATAAGAAGGGGGGCATTGCTGGAGGGAATGGGGGTACCAGGTGGAGGGGTGCAAAGGGGGAAAACTGGGACAATTGTAATAGCATAATCAATAAAATGTTTTTTAAAAATCTGGAAAATGATAGAAATACTGAAAAATCACATTAAAGACTGCAAAACCATCTTGTAATGTACCAAAATCACCAGTATTCAAAAAGTGTTCATCTGCTGTCACAAGGGGCAAGTTTATGAAACTTGGGAAGGTGGTGCTGGTCCTGGCTGGACACTACTTAGCACGTAAAGCAGTCATCATGAAGAACAATGATGGTGACTGAAGTGAGAGATGGGGAGAGGGAAAGGGAGGGCAAGAAAGGAGGACAAGGAGAGAGAGAGAGAAATACTACACTCAGATCGTTGTTGGAGCCAAGAGTAGGCACCAGGAAGGATCTCCTGTTGGTAGCTGGTTATACTAACTAAACATAGCGATGAGGAGCCAGCCTAAATCTCACCTGTTTGTTTCTTTTGAGCCATCTAACCAGGGCTGGGTGATCTAACCTCCATTTTCTCATCTGTAAAATGAGTAATCATAGTTGCTACCTCATAGGTTCATCGGGAGAATTAATGTATATGTAAAGCACCAGACTGCTCTACAGCCATGCTCTGGTGGCTGGTTGCCGCAAAGTGACAGCCTCCATGGGCAAGAAGAAAATTGCCAAGAGGTCAAAGTTTACGTTTTTAATGAAAGTTTATAACTACAATCAACTCATGCCCACAAGGTACTCTGGGGATCTCTCTTTGGACAAAACTGTCATCAACTAGGACATCTTCAGAAACCCTGTCTGAAACCCAAGGCCTGATGGAAGGCCAAGGTCAAGTTCGAAAAGAGATATGAGACTGGTAAGAACAAATGGTTCTTCCAGAAGCTGTGGTTTTGGATCTTTTTTGTTTCAGTCATTAAAAATCAAAAATAAAATAAAATAAAATAAAATAACTATTCATGCAGAAGACCCTAATGGAATGACTAGTCAATCTATAAGGTGATAAAAGATCTACTGCAGTGGCATGTCCAATACTACTTTCAGGTTTGTTTTTAGGCTAGGGTGCCTCTAGTTGCTTACTCCTGTGGCAGCTGCCCTGAATAGGTACAGTCTCTCTCTGTCTCCTTTGAGAGAGGTGTCTTTTCCAAACAGAAGGTAAGTATGAACACATTGTGGATCTCAGACTTGTGACCCCAATGTCACCTTTAAAGGGTTTGTGTGAGACACTAACATGGGAAGATTTCCTTCTAAATGCTAAATAGTTTTATAAGTCATTAAAAAAAGTTAAAAGTACAAAAGCAAAGGGACTTGGTTACCTGTGGGGACATGGACAAGTCTGACAGCACTATCAGTTGTATTAACATGCTGTCCTCCTGCTCCTTTGGCCCGAAATGTATCTATTCGCAAATCCTTGGGGTCCACTTTTACATCTACCTAGAACAGAGAGTATAACATAAGTACATTCTACACTCAATGAATACTTTCATATTAAATTTATTCCAAAAACTTTCAAATGGACTGTATTGCTTTGTGTCACAACCACTATACTAAGAGGTAAAATAAACTCCCAATTTCAATGGATGCTATTTTTTAACATTGACATAAGATGCTATGAGACCATTATATTATGCAGTCTTTCATCATCCATCATCCTAGCAAGCTACATCAGACAAAAAATATATAAAACATAAATATAACATATATTTATAAATATAAGTATATTATATAATATACATTGTACATAATTTATATTTTATATATAAACTGTAAAGTATGTACGTATATATATATCTATACATAAAGTTAATCCTTATTATTTCCTGATTCTGTATTTGAAAATTCACCTACTCACTAAAATGTATTTGCTCCCCAAAATCAATTACTACAGAACTTTCACAGTCATTAGAAGACAGCACATGCAGCAAAAAGTTCAAGTTACTCCACATGTGCGCATTCCCAGCTGAGGACAAACAAGGTGATGACACTCTGCTTTCTTATTTCAGTATGACTAGAGGATGAAGACAGGAAGAGAACAGGGCAGTGTGATGCAAGAAGCTCTAGCTCTGGGGCTAGTTGAAAAGGGTTTGAATCCCAGCTCTGGCACCTGTTAGTGAGGTGACGTCAAGAGAGTCACTTAACACTTCTGAAACCTCATTTTGTCTTTATATAATAAATAGATTCTACCAGGATGGGTTGTTTTTAGGATTTAAGATTATAATCTATGTGAGATATATATATTCCCCCCAGGAGAAATGGTTCGGTATTTGCTAAATCAGAGTTCACTGCAACTTTATAGAACATTACTATGAAGAATGAGAATCAAGTATCTGTGCGTGTGCATGCACACTGGCTGAATGAAGGTACCCAAAAAATATGTTCATATTCTAAACATTGGAACTTTATTTGGAAAAAGGGTCTTTGTACATGTGATTGAGGTAAGATGAGATCATCCTGGATTATTCAGATAAGACCTAAACCCAAAAATGTGTCCTTAGAAGAGACACCTAGAGGCGAGAGAACAGAACATGAATTCAGAGGCAGAATCGAGTTATACAGCTTCAAACACAGGAACGCCTAGAGACACAAGAAACTAGAAGGTACAAGGGAAAATTCTCCCCTAAAGCTTTGCAGGGAGCACAGCCCTACCAATACCTTGATTTTTAAGATATACAAGGTTTGTCTAGGAGGTACCTAGCGATATAGTATGAAAAATGGAGACATTTATTGAAAAAGATACATGACACAAGAAACATTGTACGTAAGACAGTGACACCTCAGTCCCCTTCAAGGTAAGCACCTTGGGACCTCACACAGTTTTCCCAAACACCATCAGCTGCCCCGTCGTATTTTCCTGAATCTCACTGATGGTCTGAAATCTCTCCCCTTTCAAAAGTGTTTTCAGTTTTGGGAAAAGCCAGAAGTCACAGGGCGCCAAATCTCGGCTGTAGGATGGCTGAGTCACCTGGGCCATGTGATGTTTTGCTAAAAAAGTCTTCAAAAGACATGATACATGAGTAGGCATGTTGTCCTGATGAAGCTGCCAATCATCAGTTGCTCATAGCTGAGGCCTTCTGAATCATTCAAATAGTTCTGCGGAGGGGTGTCCAAGCTTAATGCAAAATTTGATGCAGATTCGTTGCTTTACTTGCTCAGCCATTTTGAATTCGATGACCACACAGTACTCATGCTCACTTAATAGGGTCTACTGTGCAGTGAAATCTTCGCTGATCAGTGAAATCTAGTACAGTGAAATCTTCATTGATCATGCATGCGCATTCCAGTGCACTTTCCATGGCTGCCCGGTTACAGTGATGTCGCGTAAACCATTCTTGTTATATTAACAACCGTTGGACTCTTTCCAGATAGACCTCATATATATACCATCCATATCCATCCATACAAATATTTTAAAAATATGCTGTTTTTGAAAGGAGATTTAACATTCTGTTCCACATTAATCACTTATTTGTTTGACAGAGAGTGTGACTTTTCTCTTTGAAAAGTACATTAACAAAAGGTCAAAGTTAGAATCTGACATACAACTTAGTTGGCTGCTCTTTTGTTTCTTCTATAAGGAGTGCAATATTATGAAGAAAAAAATTATATGTCCTTTTGTTAATATATGCCAGTGTTGAGTACCTAAATAAACACTAAAGAATTTTATAAAATGTTCTTTAATGTGTAAAAAGCAGAATATGTATAATAAAACAAATCTTGAGAAGCAAAAAATAAACACTAAAGAAAGAGTAATATCTCATTTCCTGTGATTATAGTATATGAAGTAGTTACACAGCAAATATAAAGATATTATATGTGATATTTTAAATGTTACAAAAACTATCTAATGACTTTTGGGAAATTCTGAATATAGAAACAGTGATTAATAAAATAAAAAAATTTTAATGTCAATTAAGAGAATAAGACCTTGTTCTTTTAGAAAAATAAAGCTTCACTAAGTGAGTTTAATTTTCAAGAATATGAAGACAACAAGCAAATAGGTGGGAATGGAGTGGAAGGAATAAAGATGGAAGCAAGACAACTCTATGGTTTTGATTTCTGAACCATATAAATGCTTACATACACCAAAAATAAAATGAGATAAAAGAAAAATGAAAAATCAGATCTTAAAATTAAATATAAACAGAAACAAATGAACCAAAATATTTACCATAATGATAGCATAACCACACAGAAAAATATTATTTCAGATTATCTTTCAACATAGTGTTCTCACTATGCTTTCTTGGTAAGTTACATTCTAAGAACAGAAATCTTAAATATTACTCTGTAATTTACTATGTGTTAGTTACTTCTCAGTATTTGAGAAACTCAGGCTTTCCAGCATAACACCCATTTACAAAGAATGTTTTCAATGTCTCCTGGTGAGGTTACCTCATCTGGTTGAGGGAGGACAATAACTGACATTGTTCCTGTGTGAATACGCTGCATCCTTGATGACAGGCCCACCTCAGGGATTCGCTGAACTCGGTGAATCCCACCTTCATACTTCAAATGCTTATAGACATTGTCACCAGAAATTCGGGCAGCTGCATGATGTAGCCCACCTAGGAAAAAATATCCCAAACTATTAATGAATTCTAATTTGAAAGGGATAAAGATCTTAAACATTGTTAATCTAAGGCCTGACTGGGAAATGGAGAGCATAAAGAAGGTACAAAACTGTATTTTCCAAATGTAAATGTAGAAATATATAAAAGAAAACATAACAAAATGTTATGTATGGTTATCTCCAGGGAACAGAATAGCAGCAGATTTTTATTTTACTTCTTAGTTTTTTGTCTCTCAATTTTCTGTAATAAACAAGTTTTACTTTTATAAAAATACAATTAGAAAAACAATACTAGGACATTTTCTGCTTGAACTACCCTATCCCATCTTGGGCTAAGATAGTGCCATATATAAAAGAATACTTAATTACATAACACTTCGTTAATGATGAATAACTCTATAGATCCTCTCAAGTTTTCAAGGATCTATTGAAATGTACCTCTGACTTATCTGTTGAGCACGAAGATTATCACAGAAGAATCTTAATGCCTAGGCTAGCTTCCTATCAAATATGTTTTTAAAAAAAGTTTTATCTTTTGATAATTATACAGACATAGAAAACCACATGAATGAAACGTATGGCTTAACGACCACAAGATCAAAAGAAAGAACTTTGTCAGTCATCCCAAAAGCCATCTCAATGTCTCTTTCCAGTTACAATCTTCTCCCTTTCTCATGAGTAATCATTATTCTGAGTTTTATTCCCTTTTCTAAAAATAATTGTATTACCTAAATGTGCTGCACTAGGCATTATACTTAAGTCTTGTCCATTTAAAAAAAGTTTGATTACATCTTAAAAATTTTTTTTTATCCTTACCCGAGGACATGCTTTTTGATTTTTGTGAGACAGGAAGGGAGGGAGAAAGAAAGGGAGAAAAACATGGATCAGTTGCCCTACTATGCTCCCCAACCAGGGACAAACTACAATGCCTGGATTCCCTGACCGGGAATCAAACCCATGATCATTCAGATTGTGGGACATCACCCAGCCAACTGAGCCACACTGGCCAGTGCTGATTACATCTTTTAAATCCCTTAATCTGTAGATTCATCATCCATCTCTTTTGTTTCCTACAAATTATCTGTTGAGGAAACTGGACTGTTGACCTGCAGAATTTCCCACAGTCTGATTTTGTTGATTAGATATTCTTGGCAAAATTCAACCTGTTCTGCTGCCCTCTGTATTGGTTGCAATTGGGTAGCTAGACCCAGAGACTGGATCAGACACTAGCTTGAGCTCCTTGGTAAATCTGGTTGTCTCTATTTTTATGGTCTTGATACCCTTTGACGCTTACTGTATCATGGGGTTGTAAAATGGTGACAGTCTAATTTTATCATTTCTTTGTTTTGGGAGAAAGATGGTGGAGGAGTGAATGGGAGTCATGCTGTCCTCCTCCCAAGACCAAACTGGAATTGTGACTAAATAGGGGAGAAATCACCTGGAAAACAATGAAACGATAGAGGGAGACGAGCCTTGGAGCCGCGGACAGACAGTGAAATCAACTTTCACGCATCCCAACGAGTGAGAACTGCAGTGGAGGCTCGAGAGGGTGGGCTAGGCGCTCACAGGCACCAGCACCAGAGGGACATTGAAACGGCCAGTTGGCTCCTCCTGAGAAGAACAGGGTCTGAACCATAAACAGGGACCCCTAGACTACAGCAGCTGAAACCAGAAAAATGCACAGACAAAACACAACCCCAAAAAGCTTAGGGGCGCTCTCTGCCAGAGACAGGTGGCTCGAGATGCAAAGAGACATTTAAAGGGACAATGTGAAAATTTGCAGTGGCAGCTGCCTTCCTTGACCTCTAGGTAGAGGCAGCAGCCGAGTGGGCTGGTGCCTGGGAAAAGATTGGTGAGGAAGACTTTGTGAAGAGAACTGAGACAGTGGCCAACGGAGCCCTGGTCATAACTCACTTCCCACTCTGCAGCTACCATCTTGCTCAGGGATAAGTGAATCAATAAACCTGCCTTTTGTATACTCCACACACAGCTTGTGCGCGTGTGGGCTGGGGGCTGAGAGCAGACTGGCTGGAAGAAATAGAGGATCCCTGGTCAAAGGGGATACACAGCTGTATAGAGACCCTTGAGGAGAAACTGGAGACACGGGCATTGGGGAAAGAACTGGAGGAGTAACCAGAGAGTCCCGGTGCTGAATCTTCTACCAGTCCACGTTCTCCATCTTGCTCAGGTGGATTACTCCCCTGAGTGACAGCAGCCTATAAGGACACGATAGGCCTGCCATCAGGAGGCAATGCTCCGCCCTGTGGTGCCTAAGCCTGACAAATGAGGACAGAGTGACCAGATTGACAATTATAGGAGACAGACACAGACAGTAGATTCCTGGAAGGCTCAAACAAACGACCCAAGGTCAGACAGGGTCAACAAATGACATCATCAGAGTCAGACCCAGAAAGAAAAGGAAAAATAAGTAAATAAAAAGACCTGCCTACTACCATAGAAGCTTAATCCACAAAGGCAGGAAATCTAGATGGATCAATTGAAGCAGAAGCAAACAAATAAAAATAAAAATAAAAATAAAAAACCTCTCACAAAAACAAGAAGAAAAAGAAGTTCGCCCCAAATGAGGGGAAAGGAGGAATCCCCACAAAGAGAGCTCAATGAAATAGAGGCAAGGGAACTATCAGATATTGCATTCAAAACAATGACTCTAAGGAAGCTCAATGAGCTCAGCCATCTCAAAGAGAACTATGAGAAACTGCAGGGAAACTATCAGGACCTTATGGGAAACGGTATCAACCTGATAAAGGACACAGAAACTAACAAGAAGACACAAGAGGATATGAAGAATACCATTTCTCAATTGAAGAACACAGAAGGAATCAAAAGCAGACTAAATCAAGCAGAGGATCAAATCAGCGAGCTGGAGGAGAAGGTAGAAAAAAGCTCCCAGAAAGAACAAGAAATGGAAAAAAGACTCAAAAAGAATAAAGAGGCATTCAGGGAAATGCAGGACAACCTGAAATGCAATAACATCCACAAAATAGGGATCTCAGAAAGAGAAGAAGAGGAGCAAGGGATAGAGAAACTCTTTGAAAAAGTAATGATGGAAAATTTATGCAATTTGAGAAGAGAAAAGGTCTCACGGATCCAGGTAGCACAGAAGGCCCCATTCAAGAGGAGCCCAATGAAGCTCACTGCAAGACACATCATCATTAAAATGGCAAATATCAAAGACAAAGAAAATATCCTAAAGGTATCAAGGGAGAAACAGGTAGTAACATACAAGGGAGCCCCAATACGGCTAGCAGCTGACTTCTCAACAGAAACACTACAAGACAGAAGAGAATGGCAAGAAATATTCCAAGTAGTGAAAAGCAAAGGCCTACAACCAAGGCTTCTCTACCCAGAAAGACTCTCAATTAAAATAGAAGGGGAAATAAGGAGTTTCCCAGACAAAAGAAGGCTAAAAGAATATGTCTCCACCAAACCAGCACTACAAGATATGCTAAAGGGACTGGTTTAAGAAGATGAAGGAAAAAGGTGAGAAAGAGAAAAACACAGGTACAAAGAGAAAAAAATGAGTAAGCTTCTATCAATAATAACTCTCAATGTAAATGGACTAAATGCCCCAATCAAAAGACACAGCATAGTTGAATGGATAAGAAAACATGACCCACACATACGCTGCCCACAAGAGACCCACCTCAGAGCAAAAAACCTACACAGATTGAAAGTAAAGAGATGGAAAAAAATATTCCAGGCAAATGGGCAAGAGAAGAAAGCAGGGGTAGCAATACTTATATCAGACAAAATAGATTTCAAAACAAAGGCCATAAAAAGAGACCCAGAGGGACACTTTATAATACTTAAAGGAAGAATCTATCAAGAAGACATATAAGTAAACTTATATGCACTCAACATAGAAGCACCTAAATATAAAGGAAAATCTTGGACGACTTCAAAAAAGATACAGACAGCAACACACTGATCATAGGGAATTTTAACACCCCACTGTCGAAAATGGACATATTTTCAAAATAAAACATCAACAAGGATATTGTGGAGCTGACTGACGCGTTAAATCAAATGGACTTAACTGACATATATAGAACCTTACATCCCAAAGAAGCAAAATACACATTCTTTTCAAATGTGCATGGAACTTTTTCAAAGATAGATCACAGGATTGGACGCAAAGCAAGCCTCAGCAAAGTCAGGAAAATTGAAATAATACTAAGCTTTTTCTCAGACCACAACGGCTTGAAACTGGAAATCAACCTCAAAGAGAAACCTCAAAAACTTGCAAACTCATAGAGACTGAAGAGTAGACTATTAAACAATGAATGGGTCAATAATGAGATAAGAGAAGATATCAAAAAGTTTCTGGAAACAAATGAAAATGATCATATAACAGTCGAAATCTATGGGACATAGAAAAGGCAGTTCTGAGAGGAAGTTCATAGCTATATAGGACTACCTAAAAAAGATAGAAACATTTCAAATAAAAGACCTAACACTACAACTTCAAGAACTGGAGAAACAACAAAAAATAAATCCCAGAGCAAATAGAAGGAAGGAAATAATCAAGATCAGAGAAGAACTGAATGACATAGAGATGAAAAGAACAATTCAAAGGATCAACTAATCCAGGAGCTGGTTCTTTGAAAAGATAATTAAAATTGACAAGCCTTTAAGCAGACTCATCAAGAATAAAAGGGAGAGGACCCAAATTAATAATATCAGAAATGAAAGAGGAGAAATAACTGATTACCACAGAAATACGAAGGATTGTGAGAAACTACTATGAACAATTATATATGCCAAGAAATTTGAAAACCTTGATGAGATGGACAAATTTCTAGAAAAGTATAATCTTCCAACACTGAAGGAGGAAGAGCAGAAAGCTTGAACAGACCGATAACAGCTGGGGAATTTGAAGCAGTCATCAAGAAACTCCTGGCACACAAAAGTCCAGGGCTGGATGGTTTCACAGGAGAATTTTATAAAACATTTAAGGAAGAGCTAACCCCTGTC